ACAAAAGTTTTAAAATGTCCTTTTAACTTTGTTAGGTTCTTTAAATTAATCATAATTTTATTTTTATTTACATATTTTTCTTATAAGATCTTGACTACTGAAAAACCCATCTAACGATTGAGATCTTTTCTTAAATTCTCGAAATTTTTGGACTTCTCATTTGAAATCTCCCCAATATGTGTGTGAATATATATATATATATATATATATAGAGAGAGAGAGAGAGAGAGAGAGAGAGAGAGATGAGCGATCAAATGAAAACCACCCTCATTTGTGAAAATCGTACAAACCACCATTATACGTCGATTTCATTATTTAATCTTATGAAACATTTTCATGAAATTGTTTAATCTTGTGAAATTGTTTCATATAATACTTTTTTTGATGAATTTGTTTCATATAAGGTTTATGAAATTGTTTTATATAATATTTAATAAAATTTTAATAAAATTGTTTCATGTATTTCTCTAAAATTAAAATAATGAAGATGATAATATCCATGATTAACACCCTCCACAATAAAAATGGTTAATCAACCTCTCATAAATACAAAAAAATGAACAAAATGAAAAATTATGATTGGTTGAATGAGGTTTTCACGGTTTTTACAAATTGAGTGGTTTTTATTTGAACGCTCCCCTATATATATATATATATATATATATATACATAAAGGTCCATTCAAGGAATAACTGATTAGTTTGTGATAACTATGAGATCCAATCTCAACCACAAATCAATGGATAAATTAGAAAACTAATATTTTTAGTAATTTGACTTAAAATTATAATTAAAGAGCATTTTAAGTATTTTAAATTTTTTTATCTCTCCTCTCTCTCTCCTTCGGCCTCCGACGAACACTATGTGATACCCAATATACATCAATATACACAATGTGTTACCCAAAATACATACAATATGATACCAAAAATACGTACAATGTGATACCCAAAACATAACGAGTAAAACTTTGATACCCACTGTGGCACCATTGTGATACCAATTGTGGTATCATTGCCGCAAGTGGTGTTTAGTGGTTGATCATCGAATATGACATCTTGGCCAGACAAGATGACCGGAGGAGGTCACCGGAGTGGTGGTGGGTGCCGGAGAAGGCCACCAGATTTGGTCCCAGTGTATCCATGTGTGTGTATGTGTATATATATATATACATATTTAAAATAATTAAAGTAATTAAAGTAAATTGAAATATTAAACTAATTAAAGTAAATTGAATAATCAACCACAATTACTAATTTACCCTTTGTTTTATTTTAGTAAATAACATTAATCATCTAAATGGTTGGCTCATGTTGGACTTCACGATTACTACAAACTATTTAGTTCTCATTTAATTAGGTCATATATATATATATATATATATATATATATATAGGGCCAAGATCAAATGCTAACCATCATTTTTGTGTTAACCTTATTAACTGATCTTGGTCATCCAAATCTATAATCAACGGTTAAGATTAATCAATAAAAAAAATTAAATTTTAAAGTTTGAATTTTAATGAGGCCTAGTGAACAATGATGAAAGGGGCATTATGGGAAGAAAAAATACACTTATCAAGGGTATTCTAGTAAATTGAATTCATTTGTAACCCCCAAACAATTAATGGGGAGTTACAAACAATCAAATTCCAAAAAATATGCATTCATATTATTTTTTTTACTATTGATCTTCCATGTTCATTCTTGTATGAATTCCTAAATCGCATAAGAAACACGGTAGTAACAATTTTCGGTATTGATCAATTTGAACACAAATGAACCGTGAACACAAWTTGMACAHAAATGAACAACCGTGAACACAATTTGAACACAAATGAACCGCGAACACGATATGAACACAAATAAACATGATATGTGCAATTTTTGGCCCATATATTCACATACATAGACGTCTCACAAAATTAAGGTAGCATCTGTTAATTTGTTCAAATTGTGTTCACGGTTCATTTGTGTTCAAAT